GGCAGAGCTGGGGGGGTGGGAGGGGTGGAGGGTACAAGCAGATCACTGGCAAGACCCGATGAAGTGTCCCCAAGAGGTGAAACCAATTAAGCATTACTCCCAGGATACTTTTAATGGACATTTTAGCAAACAACCAAATTGCTGCACCAGGTCATCTAAATCTCACAGAAAACGTAAAACTAAGGATCTGACAATTAGTGGCCACATAAATCCCAGTTTAACTAAAAAAATAACTTTGGTGAAGAGCAATTTTTAAGTTGAAATAATAGTGTGTCATGGGCAGATATATTATTATACAAATGCTGCCAGTGACATTACGAGAGGTCATATGGGAATACGGTTGCCTGCCTCCAAGCTGTCAAATCTTTGAATCTGTGGCACTGAGGTTGTGGACTTGGATGTACCCTGTATCATTCATAGTCAGTGGATCATACAGACAAGTCTGACAGGGTTGCAACAATTGTTGATTTGGGTCTGCATGCACCAATGCACACTCATGCCACCTACTCATACCCACATACAGTGCACACACAAACACACATAAGCCCCTCTTCAAAGAGATGTAATCATATTTAAGGAATTATTTATCAATGTATTCTCTCCTGGGAAGGCTATGAGTCTCAGCAGAGGAAGTCACTATGCAATATGGTCCTCCGAATGCAATGGGGAAAATCCCTGGATGTTTTACAAGCTTGCTAATGAACATTTGAGCCACACAGCAGTTAACATTGTCTGATCACATTTTTTTCTCCAGTAGTTGTTGTTGTTGTGCATGGTGTGGCAGTGATGTCTTCATCAGGCTGTCAAAAAGGAAGTGCCTGCAGCTGTGGCGGATCCCCCCAGAGCCTGTAACACTCCTTGTTTCCATGGCAGTCCTTCAGGCAGCACCACAGGCAGGCTGTGTGCAAGGACCCATACAACCTGTTTTTTCAGCAGCCGCTCCTCTGATGTTCAGCCCCGGAGCGGGCGTCAAACTACCAAGTGCAGAGAGAGAGAACACTGCACCCTTTCTCTCTGTTGCAGTTCTGCGCCGCTTTACAAGGAGATGCATAGCAAAAAACCCTCCTCATTTGAATAAGCCACTATTCTCAGCACCTCCTTAGTAATTGTTACATGTGCAATGCCGTTAAGGTTCTCTGACCTCCTCTCTGAGAGGCATAATGCGCACAGTAGGACAAAGTAAGAAAAGCACTAGTCATAGTTGACTTACATGTGTTAAAGCTCTTATGCACGTGCTATTTGGTCTGCTTGTACCACCTGAGAAGCAGGTCATTGAGATCAGTGGCTGCGCTCCAAGTCCCAACTGGCCTAAATTAAAGGTGCAAAGGTTACGGTCCACCTCCAGACAGAACTCTGACACCAATAAAGAGCAGAATTTGCCAGGCATCAGCACAGTGGAAACACAATACAAATGACAGAACAGATTGAGTTTGCTGCAGTTGAAGATTGTTTTGCCTATATGAACACATCTACCGGTGGCTGCATGGGGAGCTTTTAAAATGATACTGTTGCCTGGTTTTGCTGTTTGTTCCAGTTTGTAAGCAACCAGACGGCACATTGCTTTAGTCTCTCCCAATGATAGAAGATCATGGTGATATAAATCATGGTAACCAGGATTGATGTTGTCTGTGTGAATAGGGGTGGGAATATGACTGTAATAACAACAGAGAGAAAAATGGTCGTTAATAGCAGCTGTTTTCAGTAGCTCCAGTTTACTAATAATTCATTTTGTGGCCCACAGTATGCACTGGTGTTAAGACATGGCAAAAACCATAATTCTTTATAGCATCAAGAATAGAAGATGGCCTTTAAGAGCTGAAATTAAATCATTGGCCTTTAAAAGCATATCTCTAAGGGGCAAGCTGCATTAATAAATTCAACTGATTCTGCTTTAATATTATTCAGAGTGCATTAAAACGAAGACAACAGCTGGGATCATGCCCATGTCTCAGGAGTATTGCTTGGGCCAATGAGTGCCGGCGAGATGCAAAGCATGTCTGAGCACAGCTCCGCGTTGTGGACGGGGGGGACACAAGGTCTCGGTGTTACAGTTGCAGGCCTGACAGTTGCTGTTCCCGGATCAGAGGTTGTTGGGTACTGACACTGGCCACAGGACAGCTACTGCCTGCCTCAAAAACAATGTCACATGGGAACAGACACCCGGCCACCCAGCCAATCAAGCCAGCTCCTGCCACAATCATGACAGTACTGCTTATGAGAACTACAAGAACCTTCAAACTGTTAAACGTTTTGTTTTTATAGCCACTGTGTGGAATAGTTATGTGCTTCCTTTGTTATGCTGAAAAATAGATGAACTGTAGGAGAAAAAAAAAGTGCTGTGGCTTTGAAAAAAGGAGAAGAAATAAAGTGTTAAGCTTTCTAACATTTGGTGTTACATCAGTGCTCTATAGTTAGCATGAGCACATGCGTCAGGAAACAATACAAAGAATAATTGAACTGCATATTTCATTCTAATTAACAGTGATATAACGCAATGTGACTCTCAGCCTCCTGAGGAAAGAGCACCATATTTTGTTTGATGAATCTGCTAAAGCCACAGCTAGTCTCGCCACTAACCCCCAGGGAATCAGGTATCATTAGAGATATGAACAGATCTGCTTTTTGTCTCGGTGAAAGAAGGGGAAAACACATTTCCTCTGTGCTGGCACATGGGTGAATGTGAAAGTGTTCAATATTAATAGCCTTTCATCAAGGACACAATTAGGACACCTCTATTTGACACATTCTATAGGTTCTGAATGAATATGGATATATGGTCCCAAGGAAGGAGCCACTGGCTGAATAACAAAGTGAAATCTCCAGCAAACCCAGCAGAATGACAAATGCACAACATGACAATCAGGGGAGCTGATGTATTTTGATCCAATATGAATTTAAAAGAAGCAAGAGGATCTAAGTGTATTATTATTAGCCCGACTTATAATTCACGGCCAAGGGCAAGTTGTATATTTATCCAAATTAGCATACTGTACATGCCGCTATACAAACACACAAATGAAGCACACATATTAAAGAGGAGATCTGGTACACTCATACTCCTCATACTTGGGAAACACATAGACACTGCTTGTGCATTTTAGTGTTTCCGTTCCTTTCAAGAGAATTATAAAAACGATTAAACCCCAACACCGGTCATGGTCACGGATCAGTCAGAGGTTCACACAGAGCCGATTTGATTATGATGAGTGCAGTTCAGGATATGTAATTTTCTACACCAAAGGCTTGTGGTGCTGACTGCAAAGCTAAGGTGTGAAGAGGGCTGTGGTGAAGTGAGGAGACTAATCACATGTGTATCACCCCTGAGCACTGTCTCCTCCAAGCTCTGCCACATTATGACACCGGAGAGTCATGTAGCACACGAGCACAGTTAGGCCCATTAACCAGAGCGGCTAATTATCGGCTCCTACAAGGTCTTCAAGCTCTCAGGCATTGCATGCTCTCATTTCTGATTAAAAACATAAATGCATGCAGAAAAAAGAGGATCAATTACAGCGAGGCAGAACAGATAACAGCCCCGTACCAGAGTAATTAGGCTGGGTGTTTCATCGGAACCGCTTGCTCTGTGATGAAGGTTTAAAGAGTCCAGTGGCAGAAACACCACAACTGTGTTTGTTTTATTTATGATGCTGCGGTGTCACCCACCGGGGCCCAATTAGCCTGCGACTGATGCCTTGGAAAGCATCTCTCTGCTCCTCTTTGACAGGAAATGAAAGCTCCACTTGCTTGTGTCCTTCTAGTGACCCGTGGGCTTCAACCTGTTAAGGGCAGACTGGCC